AACGCCCGGCAAATGTTTATTTTTTAGTAGATGTCTCATATGTGGGACACCCGTCGTTAGTGGGTTAAGGACTCTCTCGAGAGGCAAACACTTGAAATTTCAATTAAAGGCACAACCTGTGACTTCCCCACAATTTTAATTAACTTCACCAACATGTATGAACAACTAATCAATAATTACTATTATGCTTTCCTCGGAATATGTAGTGCAAGACCCACTTAATTAGTATTGCCTGTAAAAGTAATACCTAAAAACAAACATTATATAATAATCACATAAACAATAACACAATTAATAATAATCATAACAATAACAATACCAATAATAAAAATGATGATGATGATGACAACTAAAATAACTGTAACAACTGTAACAATAATAATAATAGTAACAATAATAACAATAACAATAACAATAACAATAACAATAACAATAACAATAACACAATAAATAATAAACATAATAACAATAACAATAACAATAATAATAATAATAATAATAATAATAATAATAATAATAATAATAATAATAATAATAATCATAATAATAATAATAATAATAAATAATCATTAATAACAATAACAATAACAATAATAAAAACAAATGATAAATTGCCAGGCGAACGAGAATGGAGGTTGTTGAGTAGGCCTAGGGATATATTATGCCCCACAAATCAACTGGGACTGAGAGACTTACATCCACTCTTTAATTTGCACTTATTTTCTTTTTCTTTCCTTTATTTAGAAACGAGTCTGGAAAGCAGTTTAGAAGTTTACATACTTATTTTTTCCTAATATCTGTCTGGTTCCCTCTTGGGTATATATATTACTAAGGGGGTGGTGCGTCCGCATATCATTGTGGCTCCACGCTTTTGAAGCTCTTACAAGGGCCAATAAACCTCCTTCATATGCATTTGATTCCATTTTGAAAAAAAAAAAAAAAAAAAAATCACACAAAATGTCCAGTGGACTCTCAAAGAGGGTGTCGAGTCAGTAACGATAGGTTCATGACATTAATGGACGAATAATTTAAGATATCGTAAATTATTGTTTATCTTAAATCATTTAAATATATGTAGATAAATATTATGAACAAATCAAATACAAGAAACATAAGAATTCTATTATCAAATGTTTTTTAAATAGGATAGAAAATTACTGGGGATACACAGTGACATCTATGAACTTTTGAGAAAGCTCACAGTATTGTTTACATTCAATACGGTTCGAGATAACGAAGTTTAATCCATTAACGCCTGTATATTTTGAAGCCGAAAATAAAAGATTCCAGGTGGCTACAAAATCGGCAGCCAGGGCTGCCCCAGATTCTGCCACACCCCGGCCGCAGCCCGCTGCTGCATTGAAGCATGAGCCCCAATACAGCATCACACTGGCACAACGCCCGGCAAATGTTTATTTTTTTAGGTGTCTCATATGTGGGACACCCGTCGTTAGTGGGTTAAGGACTCTCTCGGAGAGGCAACACTTGAATTTCAATTAAAGCACAACCTGTGACTTCCCCACAATTTTATTAACTTCACCAACATGTATGAACACTAATCAATAATACTATTATGCTTTCCTCGGAATATGTAGTGCAGACACCTTAATTAGTATTGCCTGTAAAAGTAATACCAATAAAAACAAACATTAACTATAATAATAATAATAACAATAACAATAATATAATAATAATAACAATAACAATAACAATAAATAATAAAATGATGATGATGACAACAAAAAAACTGTAACAACTGTAACAATAATATAATAAGTAACAATAATAACAATAAAAATAAAATAACAATAACAATAACAATAACAAAACAATAAACAATAATAATAAATAATTAATAATAATAATAATAATAATAATAATAATAAATAATAATAATAATAATAAATAGCTAAGACAAAACAACTATCAACAATAATAAAAACAATGATAAATTGCCAGGCGAACGAGATGGAGCTTTGTTGAGTAGGCCTAGGGATATATTATGCCCCACAAATCAACTGGGACTAAGAGACTTACATCCACTCTTTAATTTGCACTTATTTTCTTTTTTTTCTTTATTTAGAAACGAGGTCTGGAAGCAGTTTAGAAGTTTACCATATTATTTTTTCCTAATATTGTCTGGTTCCTCTTGGGTATATATTACTAAGGGGCTGGTGCGTACCATGATCATTGTGGCCTCCACGCCTTTGAAGCTCTTACAAGGGCCAATAAACCTCCATCATATGCATTTGATTCAATTTTGAAAAAAAAAAAAAAAAAAAAAAAAATCACATAAGGTCTATAGGCTCTATCTTGTAAGAATACATGTAATGAGGGTTTAACGCCCTTTGCCTCGACCGCAAATATTCACAGAGGCCACAACAGTTCACAGACATGTGTAGCGCAATGAAATATAAAAAAACGTTCTTTATTTAAATGGTTGAAATCAGAGCAAATTTAATTCCAAAACTCTAGGATCATCACATGCCTTTTCTTTGTCAATGGCCTCATCTGAACAGACCTTGCATCAGCTCCTATAACAATATAAAATCAAACATTTGTGAAACCTACGCTTGGGTAATCAAATAACCCTCTAATTCATGTGGTGCGTCAATGTGTAATTACTTAAACTCAAGACCAGCTGCAGTCATGAAGCACTAAACTTTACTTCTAAGTAACTTTTGATTTCTAAATAACAAATAAACAATAATAGTTATAAGGAGGTAGATCCTTGAGTATAAATCAGTCCCTGGGGCAAAACTACATTTATTCAGTCACATGGTGTTTCAGGAGGAAAATATCCCCAGTGCAGATGCAATGCTCTGTAGTCTGGCACAAGATGATGCAAAAACAGAAGCTCTACAGAGTCTCTACCACAAAAGCTATACAAAAACTAATAATAAATGGTGAATTACAATATCAATAATGATAGGACCCTAACAATAATTAATTAATATTGCAATCATGTCACATTATAATGTAATACCAATATTACCCGCAGTAAGTGAACTGGGTATTACATTAGATAAATATAAAATAATAAAAAAAGAAGCACAACACCACAGTAATGCCGTAGTGTAATAGCAGCCACAATAACAACCAACAATAGTTAGAAAGCATAATAACAACCCTTTACTCATGTGCCTCGAAGACGGCAAAGATGGGAAAAGACACCTTTTATACTTGAATTAAAGCTCTCACCTCCATATTTAAAACTCCTACAATATCAGCACTTCCCACTCGTCAATCACACCGACTGGGACCCGCCTCTTGGCATCGTGGACGGAGAAAAAGCGAGAAAAGTGGAAGTCTGTCTCACTCCGGACTTCTTGAGGTTCATCAGCTGACACTACAACAACGTGGAGAGAGCTAGTCCGCACCCACTCCCCATGCGCGCCGAGTACATTCATTGTCCAATTTTGTATGGGAATAGTTCTCATTTTGGGAAATCTCATTGTATTTATTTTACTTATCTAGCTTTTTATTATTATTCAATTGGTAATGTCTATCAATAAGACGTCTAGTTATCTATATCTACCTTTGAAGGATATAATGGTGACGAAGTTCCTTGTCCAATTTTAGGGTAGAATTTGTAAAAGCTGGACTATTTTGATTATTTTTTATCTATCTGTTTGTCGATATATATCAAAGGGAAGAAACACAGAGAATTGACAAAAAAGAAGATAAATTTCTCCGTTTTACGCCGTGAATGAGAGTGGGTGTGGAATAGTGTCAAGAGCAACGTGGTGGCGGCGAGGTTTCCACAGCCTTATTTTCCTTCTTTTCCTCCCTTCTGACCCACGGAGACGAAGGTAAAGAATCCCAGACACACCTTCCTTTAATAATCACTTCTTACTCTAATTCTAAGCAGTCTATTTCTCTGCATTTGCGTGCATGGTCGGGTCTTAGTGAGTTTTCAGTGGAAAATTGACCTCTATCGAGCAGACGACGCAGATGATGTATATACGCATTAATGTT